ATTTTTACATATAAATAATTCAATGACATCACTGCATTGAATACAATTATAGTAGAAAGACTAGGAAGTATACTCTATTATTTTAGTATCTTAATTTATAAGGCAGTTCAATGAACTACCTGGAGTATGATTTTGGCACCACTGCATGTGAATATGAAGTCCTCTATTATTGAATTATAAAATGTTATATGTAAAAATATTAAAAATCTATCTAAAATTATGTGACTAAAGGAATAAATGTTTGTGATAATATAAAACTTCTTTACAATATTGTAAAAATGATTTTATGCTGGCTAGTGGTGTATCAATAATATTTAAAACAAAATAATTAATTCAAAATTTGTATTTGAAAAATGAAAAATAAATTATTAAGATCTTAAAAATATCTTGTTAGTAAATTTAGAATTCATTATTTAAAAATTATAAAATGTTTTAAATTAAAGATATTATTAATTATGTACAACATTTAAAATATTTAGAAAACAAAAATTTAAATACCGAAAAACTAAAAAAGCGCAATAAATTAAAAATTTCAAAAAAATATAAAAATTAAATTCATTCATACCTATCTGACTAATTAAAAATTATGAATTGGAAGCCATATGTTACAGCATGTGACAAACAATACTTATTTTCCACAAATGTAGTTTTATTTATTAGTAAACCATAGTCTTTAGTTAATGACGCATTTATATATTACACAGATCAAGCTCAATCTAAAAAATCAAGTACCCTTTTGTCCATTATATTTTTTATTTTTTTATTACTCCTATTTAAATCATTTTTAAATTATTTATATCAGATCGAAGCAGTGAAAAAATAGCTGCTGTTAAAGCATATCTAGAAGCTTCCAAAATGTTAAGAAATTATGATGATCCATCTCAAGACCCAGTTTTCAGTCAAATCACTACTTTAGATTTAGGAGAAGTTGTACCATCTATCAGTGGGCCGAAAAGACCACATGATCGTGTATCTGTATCTGAAGCTCAAAAAGATTTCAAAACTTGTCTAACAAATAAGGTAAGTGATTTTATAAATATATATCATATTGTATAGGTACTAAACATTATTATACAATGTATTTTATATACAATATACTCGTATATACTAATATAAGAGTAGACTATAGTTAGTAAATGGCAATTACATATAGGTATTAGTTTAATATTGTTTAAACCAAAATATTAAGACATTATCTTGATAGGTACTATATTAGTTATTATTAGATATTTAAAATCTTCAAGAGATTACATACCTAATTGATCAAAAAAATTATTAACAATACAATTTTAATTAATAATATTATAATATTGTACTTTTAACTGGCATTATGGAGCTACAGAATAACAGAATGCATCTGAAAAGTTCATTAAATTATGCTATTAGCTGATATCAAAGAGTACACAATTTTTTTAGTGTAAACAAATAATTGATAAATTGTGGCGTATAAATACAACTTTAATGTAATAAACTAATAAATAACTGTTTTCTCCATTTTTATCTCTCTGTTTAAAACATTATGAGAGATTTCTGAATGTTAAATTTGATTCAATATTTTTTTTATTACAAATATTATTTGTATTAACATGATTAAAACTTATAATTAATTCATATAAGTGTAGTCGTGTACTCATGTGTATTTGTTTATTGACTTAGATTATTTTTATTATAATTAAAAATATTATATCTTCATTCATTTGATATATACATATATAATAGAACTACTAAATATAAATCATTATTCAACTTAATATTACTTTAATACTTTATAATTATAATTTTTTGATTATTAAATTCATTTTTCACATTACATAGTTTAATTTTATTTCAGGGAATTTGTTTTAGGATGTTAGTAATATATATTTAGTGGGGTGACATTTATATTGAAATATAAATGTGTACAAACGTATTTTTGGTATATATTCTATTAAATTATTTTATATTTCTGCAAAAAAGTAAATATTAAGTTATTTAAACAATATTAACTAATTTATTAATATATACCTATATGGTAAACAGGCAAAACAAATTATATTAAAAGTATATTAATAAGCATAATATTTTTATTGAGATCAGTCTACTAATCGTTTACATTTTAAAATGAATGCATAAATATTTCTTATAGGTATTAAGGTATTAATGGATATTTTTATGAAGTTAAAATTATAAATAAATAACTTAATACATACATGAGAAAGTTTTTCAATTAACAGTTTGATAAAATATTAAATCCGTCGAAAAATTAAAATGTATGCTTCATGAATTGTCACCAGTGATAGAGATTAATTATGAGTACCAAGTACCACCTAGAAGCAATTCATGGTGCCCACATCATATATCTGAATCTGACTATAAATTATTAGATGGAATAATTAATATACATAATATTTTGAAAAATACTATACAATAAAAAAGTATTATTATATTGGCTTACCGACTATCTACTTACTAGCTTTTCATACTCTGTTCTGCACTGCTTTGATGAATTATTGTTGAATTGAATAGTGTTAAATTTGTGTTATGATGTCTTTTATAAAGTAAAATGGTCAGAATTTTAGAATTATCTGGATTGTTTTGTTTGCATTACTTATTTGTTTGAGATTAAATTGATCATTATTATTCATGTATGTGGACCTTGGATATTTATGCTCAACTGTAACTGTACAATGTGTTATATTATTTCTTCTTTATATGCTCACATTTTAACAAATTAATGATTTTTAAATTGTACTATTTTTTTCGAATATTTTGATAATTACTACCTAGGTACCTGTTAATATAATATTATGTATCTGTATGTAAATATATATTATATTATACTATAGAATGATTCATCTGGTTAGAACTTATTATTCAATTTTTTTTAAATAAATAGTGAAACATACAATTTTTGAAAATTATTAATGTTAAATTTTAGGATTTTGATCAGCGTCTTGTAACTAGGTGCAAACTAGCTGCAGCACCCCATATTTTAGACAGTTTAACTGTATAAGTGATCTTTGTGATCTGACATAGGTAATTATGATTTTCTTCTTAGATTCCTTAATAATTTAAACTGATAGACCAACTTTTCAAGTATGATAGTTATATTAATGAATAAATCCAATTCAAACTTATTATTTTGTGTTAATTAATAGATTATCTTAACGAAGTGATTAATGTATTAAAGTATTAGAGTATAATATTTTAATTCTAGACAACTTATTTATCCTGTGCAGTCAATATGCAAATTAAATCATTTTTGTTTTTTGTATTACTAACAAATGTTAACCATTGTTAAATAGATATTAGATCAGAGAAACTTAAGATCATACAATTATAAATTATAATATAGTACCAACCTCTTTAATCACACTTACTCGTATTCAATGAATCTTTTTGTAATGTCGCTTCCATACTTCCTTAATCGATTGTCTCATACAATATGGATTGTTTAGGAATATAATATAATATACACTATTTTACAATTAATAAGTATTTGAAATTAATGTCTATTTATTCATATCCTATGTTGTGTAAAGTATCTTCATATATTATGACACAATTTTAACAAAAATCTATTATAATTATTGTGTCATAGTTTTATAATATTATCCATGTTGATATTTAAGATACTAACTAAATTATTAAACAATATTAGTCAATTTACCATTTACCATGGTCAGAACTTTATTCTTTTTTTATAAAATATTTAAATTATCGTTACTTGTAGTACACAAGTATACTTAATTTATTTAAAGATATATGTATCAATCAAATATTTTTTAATGACGATCTTAATTAAAGCAATATTATTTTTGATAGTATAGAATATTTTAAATTTGATTATCTTATCGGTTTTCTAAATTTGTGCGGCTGTATAATATATACAATCTTTTTGTTCAATTTAATTATATACCGTTGGTTATATTATTATTTAAATTATAGCTTTTTAATATTAGGTTGGTAGTCAATTTAATTAGAAAATAAATTAAAAACTAATATATCGCTATCTGCTTGTTTTCGTGAAATTATTTTATCAATACATTTTTAAAACAATTAATAGGTAATAGAGAAATTAAATTGTACTTACTTATATCGTAAATCTATTAAAAACTAATTCCAAAAACAATTTAAAGACTATAATTTAAGTTAAACATTTTTAATTAATGTAGTTATATAGCTTACTTTTGAAAAACTACTTTTTCGGCAAAATATCTGTAAACAAGATACATTGTCTTATTTGATAAAGAAACAGATTCAAATCATAACGATTGTAGTAGGTGGTGTCGAGACGACGAGTGTACTTTGTCGGTGAAATGTTTAATGTGTTTTAAGGATAAATTATTGAACACGAACGATCTGCCAGCCGTATTCATTATTACCATGTATATTTGATTTAAATCCAATTTTTTTTAATGTTCTTACTTCATAACCTCAATAAAATTTATAGTAGATTTACGTAATTACGTTCCATATTTTTTTTAATTCCAGCACCAATTAATCAACTTATAAAGGACGAAGATGAAACGTTGTAATTACATTTTAATCTCTTTGATCAAGTATAATTTCGACATTAATTAAAATTCTATAAACTGAAAATATCAAACATTTCTGTCCATGAATAGCGCAAAAAGAGTAATTTTGCAAACTAAACACCACGTGTGAAAATTTCAATTCAAATATTTTGATGAAAATCATTTTAATTACCTGTTCCTCATTTTTGAAATACAAAAAATAAGACAATTGACGTCATCGAAGTTTTCCGCATTTTTCTCGTCATATTTATAAGGAAAGTACTAAATTTATAATGTCGATCTCCTGAAATATCATTTATATCCTAACTATAGGCCAAAATTCACTTTCAAGAAATTACATTTAACATGTTTTTAATCTAAAGATAGATAACAATATTACAAAATATAATTTATTAATAAACTTTCAATTTGTTTAATTATTTGTTATAACTAGTAACTSGGTCGGTAATATTACATATTTATTCATTTTTAGGTGTCTTAATATTAAATACATTTTATACTTTAAATTAATTAAAAAATTTAAAACTATAGTTAATGATAAAAATGTTCAAGACAAAGAATGAGTACTGTAATAAAAGTATATAATTCTTACAAATATAAAATAAATATTTTATCGTTAAATGCACTTAACTAGGAGACATAAATATATAATAGAGCTCATTGTCCAGAAATATGAAACCTAATCTGAATTTAATAGAAGGTTTGCCCTTGTAATTTGTACCTTAAGGCTAAAATAAATATTAAGTTTCTTCTGCTATTGACAATTTTTTAAAACAAATTTACCTACTCTTTTAATTATATATATTACATTACAGTTGAATACCTACTATTTTTTTTTTTTTAATATTGAACGTTATACAAAATAAAATCAAAAACATGAATATGATATAATCTAGTAAGTAATATTTCATCAATAATTATGTAATATAATACAATTTTAATAAAATAATCGAAGAATATTTTTGCATCATCTACAGAGTACCTATATCCTATGGGACGTGTAAATGTTACTCCCATAGTGATCTAGTTACCTTAGAATAGATCCAAAAGACAATAAAAAATTTAAATTATAAAAGTACAAATAACATAACTACTTATTAACATTATTGAAGTTCTGTGAATCGATAGTTCATGGGAACTCCGCAGGTAACATTTACATCTTTAGTACGTCAAATATTCGCTATAGAGGTTGATGTTACCAAACGGCGTACACCATAAATATGATTTTATACTTATGTTCCTAGTATTTTGGAATTTCTCGGGGTTCGTCAGTCAAGTTCACACAGACCCTAAGAAATCCCAAAGACAATCAACTGATTATCAGTATTATTAATAGGACATTAAGAAACGTTTCTGGATGATACTGCTCAGCACACTCCATCACTGTCGACATACCCGGCGCACACTATCCCGTCATCAAAGCTTTAAGTGCTCCTAAAGAAGTGTACGACCTAAAAACTTTGATGAGCAAGAAAACGTACGTCGGACTGTGATAAAAACATA